CAGAACGTCGTTATTCTCATCTCCGTTCTTTGGTATTTTAACAAAAGCACGCTCCTCCGGCCAGCTGCGATGCACTAATGCTCAGTTTTGCTACTGCGCTTTCATCAGCTGATTCTTCGAGTTTTAGTATATATCAAATTCTTTTTGAGAGTTGAAAAAGGAGGGCTATCTTTCCGGACAACGATCCTAGCCTGTGTTCCACAACCTTGAATATGGTCTTCTTGCTAACGGTTACGACTCTAGGCCTTAACCAATACTAGCCTGACCTGCCCCGGTCTCATCAAGTTGATCGTGAATCTATTCAAATACGATGTAAAAGAGAGTCATTGCGAGTGGATGAAATAATCATTCATACATCATCTGATAACAAATGCGTAATCTTCAGAATTATCTAGATTTTCGGCGTACAGGCGCTGATGTTATTCAGGATGTAGCAGCTTCAGGCTGAGTGCAGTGTGCTACATCTTTTTGTTTCATGCCATTTTTTTTTACTTGTCCCAGGTTACTAACTAAAACAAAGTACCAGCTGAGGTAAAGACGTTTTGTTCCATTAATATGCGTAGATAGGAATGTTTCGGTTCATTAAGTTTCTTACTTCTTATCCTTCAACCAATGCAAACTGAAGAGATCGAAAGGTCTGGCATAGCAAGGTTTCCCATTAGCATACATCCGAGTTACAAAATGGCCCTCATTTCTTGGCTTTATATTAGTGCTTTTGTCGGAAGAACCGTTTGGCTCATATAGCTTTTGTGAGAAAGGAACTGGCGATATCAAGCCAACGAGTAGGTGAATTTGAAGAAATTGAGTGCAGCTAATCCAAAGTATCAAAATATTTTGAAATTATCCCCTCGCCTCTCCCTCCTTCAAATTTTTAATTTTCATTTTTTTGCAGATTTTAAAAATTCGTTATAGAATATGTTACTACTCTCGACGCTGCTGTTATCGTTTACGCTCAGTGGACAATCACTAGGCCCAAAAACTATTCCGGAAGAGCTGCGTAAACGTGTCCGTGAAGCACAAACACTTAATGATTTGAAGACTGTTGCAAATCTTGCTTATGCACCGCATTTAATCGAGCACAAGGACCAAAAGACACTGAGATTGTCCCCGAGTCTACGTCTATCTAATGAACGGAGTATGGTGAAGTTGCAAGGAGCTAGTGCATTCGCTTTTTCAATGAATTCTGAACGTTCTGATCCTCAACCCGACCTAAACGGTATGTTTTTTTGATAAAACGCCATTCTTGGAATTCACATTGATTGTGCGTCATGATTACTAGATATTTCAGGTACAAGAATATTCGTTCTAACACTATCTTTCCAGGCTATTGATATGGTAGCTTAAAAGATAAAGTCTAACACCACATTGTTCTGTCTAAAACTGATTCTCCTTAACTGGGATGAGCTGTTGTAGAAGCAATCTCTTCTGAAATAGTAGTTTAGAAGGGATTGGATTAAGTGCCATGTGTAAGAAGACAAGAAACCATAAATTGAAAATTCTATAAAAAAGAGAGAATGCTGATTTTTTGCGGAAATTATAACTGTGAAACTTGAAAGGAATGTTTCTGTCCATAAAGTCGTATACGAAATCAACTGTGTGGACTAGAAAAATTACCAAAAATTCCGCAAAATTAATAAATAAATCAGTTCGAACTTCACAGCGCTGAAGGTCATTTTCAATCTCCTATCCTTTCCGGGACAAAACCTTATTATCTGTGCCGCTCTAATTCCGTGCATTCAATGAACCCTATTCAGAATCCGTTCTTTCGCTCTCTTCCGTCAATGTCATTTACCTAAATATATCTTCTAGTATCCATATGATAACTTATCCAATGTTATCCAGAAGCCTATGTCCACTAATCTAATCCGACTGTATTTGAGGGGCGGATATTTTTATCATAATAACCAAAATTAATGGGCCGAAACGTCTTATCT